TTACTTGTAATTTCTGGAACATTCCCAAAAGCAAAAACTTAGTTCCATCCACATCACTTGGCTTAAGTTACATGGTACATCAATGAAGACTTCCCTACCTCTTCCATGGTCTCTTATTCCTTTGTTAGTTTATAACAAACAGTGGTAAAGTTGCTAATTCTGCCTTTCCAGATCTTTCTGTGCAGTGTTTCAAGGAACATCTTGTTTTGTTTCCTCAGTTACTGCCCTGTGTTTATTGCATAGTTAAATTATAGTAGTCACATTGTATATAGCTATTACATCATTAATAGATACACATAATAAAGTGGTTTCTTAACAGGTATACTGAATTATAACTGAGTATTATAACAATCTACCCATTAATAGTATATAATTCAGTGGTTTTTAGCATATGCAAACTTAAGCAAATATTACTTATCAATTGTGGAACATTTTTATCACTGTCTTTCATTTAATATTCTCATTTTTAAAGTTAATTTTTTTGCTTATTTTTACTGAGCATTGCTATTCACAAAACATTCTAAGTGTTTATCTTCCCATTTTCTCACAATTTTGTGAAGTACAGAAACATCAGGAATTTATTATCAATGTTTAAATTCTATACATGGCAGATAAATTCCTTAGGGTTTCTAACTCTTAGTACTAGTATTTATTGATTTTTCACTTCATGTCTTTGAAATACAAACTATCAAATTTTAATTTTCATTATGATCATAGTATTGCAGTATGATTTTAGTGTTCAGGAGTATCTCGACTAGTGTTTATTCAGGGTCTAAACTGTCACTGTCATTTTACATTTTTGGAAAAATGGTATCTTTCTGTTCTAGCAGTTAAACTGATCACTTATGGCTTTGACATAAGTTCACTATGGATTATGATCAAAGTGTTCTTATATGTGTATGGACTGTAGATCATCCTTATTTATAAAAGAATTCTAGGAAGTTTGGAAGGAATAGGATCAAAGTTACCTCCCCTTGGAGGGGGGTTTGATATTTCATCCTTTTCTGTTTGTGTCAGACATTCACCAATCATCCTTGATAGGCCCCAGTGTAATACTTGCTATTATCTGGCTGTATTTTGTCCCTTCCAGGTGAGGAAAATAGCAGCTGAATACTACGACAACCCCCCCCCCCAGTACAATTCCTGGGTGAGAGTACTGTACGATTTTGTGATGGATGATACAATAAGTCTCCACTCAAGAATGAAGAAGCATCCAAAAGGGAAGGAGGTACTGGAGTAAATATCAACACAGCCCAAGGAATTCCTCTCTGAAGCTTTAAAATAGCTGACAGAGTGGAATTTTTTGCTGAAAACTGAAGATCAGTGATGCTTAGAAGCTATCATGACACAATTTCAAACTAGGATCTTCTATTGTTCAGAAACTAATCTGGGGCTGGGGATGTATCTCAGTGATGGAGCACTTGCCTGCAGCATGCCTGAGGCCCTGGGTTCAGACCCTGCCATCAAGAGACAAAAGCAGCAGCAGCAGCAGCAGCAGCAGCTACTCAGGCTTCAACAGGCAGCCTTACCCCTTCATGCTCAGCTTTACTCACTCACTGTATTGTCGTACCTGGAGGGTCTTCACCCATTTCTGTCATTTTGTAAACATATCATAAAGAGTATTTCTAGTATGTTATTTTCACTATAAAGTTTTACTTTATTAAAACAGCGAATGAATTATTAATCACAGTATATTAGTATTTGTTGCATTTTTGTATTTCAGTGTCTTTATAAAATGGTTACCTGGGTATTAGGGGAAACTTTCTTTAAAATTTCACTCCAGAGAAATTATACCTCAATTGATTCAAATGTATGAACCGCCAAGATCATTGTAATGTCATGTGTAGCTAATAAAAAAAAATTTCACTCCAAAAAGAAAAAAGCAATAATTTCAGAAAGGCCCAAGTTAATATAGTATAAAAGATTGAGATGGAAATGTCTTAAGCAATAAGATGAGCTACTTATTTTTTATTGATTTTTTAAAAATGACAGCAGAATGCATTACAATGTATGCAGCACAATTTTCATATCTCTCTATATAAAGTATGTTGAAACTAATTCGTTTTTTCATACATGTACTTTGGATAATGATGTCTATCATATTCCACCATCCTTGCTAATCCCCTTCTCCCTCCCTTTCCCTCCCACCCCTCTGCTCTGTCTAGAATTCATCTATTCCTTTCTGCTCCCCCTCCCCACCCCACTATGAGTCAGCTTCCTTATATCAGAGAAAACATTTGGCATTTGTTTTTTGGGGATTGGCTAACTTCACTTAGCTTTATCTTCTCCAATGCCATCCATTTACCTGAAAATGCCATGATTTTATTCTTTTTTATCGCTGAGTAAAATTCCATTGTGTATTATGCCACACTTTTTTTAATCCATTCATCCACTGAAGGACCTGAACAGACACTTCTCAGAAAAGGATATACAATCAATCAACAAATATATGAAAAAGTGTTCATCATCTCTAGCAATTAGAGAAATGCAAACCAAAACTACTCTAAGATATCATCTCATTCCAGTCAGAATGGCAGCTATTATGAAGACAAACAATAATAAGTGTTGGTGAGGATGCAGGGGGCGGGGGGAAAGGTGCACTCATACATTGCTGGTGGGACTGCAAATTGGTGCCGCCAATATGGAAAGCAGTATGGAGATTCCTTGGAAATCTGGGAATGGAACCACCATTTGACCCAGCTATCCCACTCTTCGGTCTATCCCAAAGGACTTAAAAACAGCATACTACAGGGACACAGTCACATCAATGTTTATAGCAGCACAATTCACAATACCTAAACTATGGAGCCAACCTAGATGAGCTACTTATTTTAAATTTTTCACTGTTGTACATGAGACCTAAGTTAGATTCTGCTGAATTCTGCACAGTCTAACTCATGAATAAAGTACTTACTGAACTTAATCATGGCTAGCATCCAACTTCCTTTCAGATGTACCGACACTCTTACACATTAGTAACGGCTTAACTGATAGAATTCCATGATCTTCATTCCAGAGGAAACTGATTGTAGGCTGATGGCAGGTATTTAGTTTAAGGAGCCAGTATCATGGGCTATTAGACCAGCAGTCCTGGTTTTCTCAGATGGGTCAATTGGGTAAATAGTAAATATGGGAAACTATTGTTAAAGTATATCAGCTAGGGCTGAGATTGTGGCTCATGATAGAGCACTTACCTAGCATGTGCAAGGCCCTGGGTTCAATCCTCAACACCACATAAAAGTAAATAAAATAAAGGTATTTTGTCCAACTACAACTAAAAAGTAAATATTAAGAAAAAAAATATATATATATATCAGCTAATTGTGGTTTCCTGTAGTGGCAGACAACTCCCAGGCAGCTGAGTGTGAAGAGTAGAATCCTCCAGGGACTAGCAAACCTGCTTTACATGACCAGTTTCAGCCCAAGTGCTTTGCTTTCCTTTCCTGACTCCCTAGCCTAGGGAAATTCCTAGCAACATTGAGTCTTAAATAATCATTGATCTAAAGTATAGAAGATTAATAGAACCAACTTTGCAATTCAGATTTACTCTGTCACTAAAAAGGTATCTGTGAAACATATCCATGGATTTACTACTACATTTAAACAGATCGTATTCTCCCCTACCCCTCAATTCCCCTCACCTATAAACTCTAGTCAATGGCAACAACTGCCGTATTTCTGTGTGCTGAAAACTCCCAAATCTCTCTGAATTCCACCACCTGCTAGGTACATAGTGTACGTTAGCATACCTGCTCATAATTTCTTTTCCCCTTACATTATCACTCTTGATGGGTGGAAGTTTCAGAGTTCCTCCCAGGTCTAACTAGTTTGGATCCCATGCCAACTCAAGTCTGCCAGTTGGGGCAGTGAGAAGGCTGGGCCCTGACACCTTTAAGGAACAAGGCTTGAGAAATCATGCAGTGGCTGTACACTAGTGCTCCCTTCTGTCTCAGCTTCATTCCCCATTTCTGGTTTGATTATCTTGTCTCAAGCCTCAAGGCCTTCCCTGGTCCATCTCCACCATACAGCAGGTGCCACTTTTTTGGACCCTGAGGACAATGTTTACATCCCTTTTGTCTTGTCTTCAACCCCACTTTCTGTAAATAGACATTGTTTGTTTTCCCCTGAGGTTGTAACTCCTCAAGGGCAGGAAGGATCTTCTGTTTCTCTATTTCGAACCTCACAAGGTCAGTGCTGGATTTGGAGTAATTGCTTGATAAATGATTGAGACCACCAGAGAGAGTCCTTGAACTTGAGAAGCTCTATCTAAAACAGTCCAAACAGAGGGTATATGTATATATTAAAAACAACAGAGATTTCTGGAGAATCCTTACTTTTCACCTATACCAAGTGATTACCTGCATAATCTTATTGAAGTCTCAACAATTCTATGATGAATTAATATTTTCATTTTGTAGATGTGAAAAACCAAGGCTAAGAGAGATTAATAAGTAACTGGTCCAAGGTCACACTGAGTACATCAGATTCTGCAGAAACAGAATCTGAAAATCACACTGAGACCCAGAATTAAAACTGTTGACCAGGCTCCCCATGGCTTGTCTGGTTAGCCCAGGGAATGGAAAAGAGAATCAAAACCTCATGTTCTGTTACTAAATAGGTGCTCACTCCCACTGCCTTGCTGACCACTGTAATCCCAGCAAGTATGAGATAGGAAGATCAAATTTTCGAGGCCAGCCTCAGTGACTTAGCTATGTTCTCAGCAACTTAATGATACCCTGTCTCAAAATAAAAAAGGCTGAGGATATAGCTCAGTGATAGAGAACCCCTGGGTTCAATTCTAAGCCTCAAACAAAAGAGAAAGACGATCAAACACATTCCCCACTATCAAACAGGTACTCAGTCCACTGACTTCCCATAGAAAAACATTTCTGTATAGATGTCTGTTTTTTTCCCCAATGCTTAACAATGTTGTAAGCAAAAATAACCAAAACAGTTTCGATACCATAATGAAAGCACAAATAACCAAGACAGGAGCAGACTTCATGGATCAGCAATGCCTTTTATTCATCAGCAGAGTCAGACATCAGAGGGGCTCACTTTCTGGGTAGAAAATGGCCCCTGGTTACAGAAGGGGTCTGGGTTTTCATGGGTTACACTGAGAGTTAATCTTAGCAGATTTAGTTACACTAAACAGTGTAACTTAATCATTAGAGACTGCAGACATGCAATTAGGCAGTCAGGAATAGTTGTGCAGATTAAAAATTTAACTCAGGAAAACAACTATAAAGCTTGAAATTTATTGTCCCTGGGGTAAAAATTTAGAGCCCAGAGTTCATTTGTTTGCCTTCCCTTCAGGACTCAATGTTACTGGGAAAGAATAAAAGCCCAGAGCATGAAGCTCATTGCTTATCTTCTTCCTTTGGGATCCATTGTTACCCAGAGCTTCACTATTTGGTTTTCTCCTTCCAGGACTCATCAGCAATGGGAAAGGGTGAGAGTTCAGGGCCCAGTGTTCAATATTCACCTCCTTCCTTCAGGACTCATCGTCAATGGGAAGGGATGAATATTTGCGTTCACCTCCCCCTCTCTCCTCCCAGGCCACAATGTCCTCCTTTCTCTCTGGGAGTTGTCTTTGGGGATGTTATTTTAATATCCTTCAAATATAAAATTCAATTATGAAATAGTCATGTTTGAATCCATAGTAAAAGCACATCCATCCATTCATTCATTTTGTATATTCCTCACCAAATATTGCACTAGAGAATGAGAACATAAAGGGGGTGCCAAACAAAGGAGCTGAGGCTTTAGTGCTGGGAAATGCATGTCCTGTTCAGAATTCAGCAATAAGGGACTTCACGAAAAAGGGAGAGATGACATGTGGCTATGATGGGGTGGAGGGTGCATATCTGGACCTAGTTCTCTGCCAGCCAGTACACATAGATTAACATTCTAACTCCTGTCAGACTAATAAGCTAACTCCACACTTTCCATTTAAAGAAACTGAAGCTCTATGGACAGGTGATTAGCCTGAGGACACAGGATGACAGCCAGGGCCAGAACCCATGTCCGGCAAACCTTACACTCCTCTTCTATGCTACCTGCCCTGCTGACTTGGAAGGACTTTCATTGTACAAGGAAATGTGCTGTTTCTTGTTAGGCAAATCTTCCTGGAGCTTCAATAATTTGTAATGAAGCAAGAACAGTCTGATGACCTAAGGCTGGGAAGAAACCCATAAGTGCTACGATCACCTTAGATCCTTTCTGTATTCAGTTCTGAGACTAAGGACCAGCCTGCAGAAGCCTGTAGAGGGAAGAGAGGGCACTGAACCACCTGGAGGTGAGGCCTGAGGCTGATTAGCTAAGAGCCCTGCAGTGGCTATAGTGTCAGCAGTGAGTGGGGAGCATTAGCAATGGAAAATTAGGACAGCTGGGGATTCCTGACTAGGGAAGAGGTGTAGGACTGGACAATATGTGGATATACAGGTCAGATCAGGGAGGTACTGTTTGCTTGGAAAGCTACTAATAACACAGGAACAAGAATTGGGAGTATCATCCAAAAAGGGACAGCTTTAATTCTGCCAAGTTTCAACTGTTTTGACAGATGGCTCAGGAAGCCAGTAACTGGACTCCACCAACGGGAGGTTTCAGGTGGCAATGAGTGGACACCTCACTGTAGTTTTGAAGGCAGTGGCTCTCACAAACGTGAATTGGCGACAAGACCCAATGCGAAGGCTAAGTACAATTAGGAGATCCTCGGGAACTGTGGCTGGGTGGGGCTGCTAGTATAAACAGCACCTTCTGGGAAGGAAGGTGGAACTCAAGGAAACACAAGGTGCCCTTATATCACAAGCAGACCACTGGTTAGTAGGCACACATCTCTATCCTTGCAGTTCTTGGGGGAAAGGACTGAATGGATGCTGTGTGAAAGATGGAGGAATCCAACTGCCAACAGTGAGATGATAAATCCTTGTGGAGCTGCAATCTCCAATCCAAGCACGGCCTCTGTAATCCCCTCCCCTGTGAGCTTATTCTCAAAGGCTGCCCCAACAGACCTTTGGGGAGAGTTTCATAAGACCCAGAATGACCCTTCATTTGTCCAGGTAGTGGTGTGAGCCTCACATGAGCAGCCGAGAATTCTTTTGGCATAAGAGGGTGTCACCCTCTCCACCCCACCCCCTTTTCCCTTCCCATGATGAACAGTAATCCCCCTCTTGGCCATAACCACACACTGAGAAACCTATTTCCCCTCCAGGCTGGGCATTCCATATGCCAGAAAGTGGGTTCCTTTCTATCTTCTTCAGAAGAAACACACTCATGTGATCTCTCCTATTTTTAAGCTCATGTCTGCTTCAGCACCAACAAGGAGAAGGCCCTGCCTACTCACACAGCTCTATTAGAGGCCTCCCTGTCCACACTCACTGAACTCTGAATCCCCACCTCTCAGGGCTGAGTTCTTCCCTCTGTACCCACCTCTGCTTCCCAGAGTGGAGTCCCTGGGGAATCTTCCTTACACTTCACTATCCAAGGATTCTCCTCAACCCAAGGGGTCAGAGGCCTCAGGGAAGTACCCCAGATCATGAGGGGATTACTTTACAGAGACATGATCATACATCAGTCTGGCATCTCCTCACAATCCCTGCCACAAACACTTTGAGAACTCTTTTCCAGTGAAAAGAACAACTTCAGATTCTAATTCAATTCTAACACCCTTCAATTTTATAATAGCAATTCTTTATTTCCTGTTACCTTCTCAAAAGTACATATGTGAAAACAAGTCAGGTCATCAAAAATCAAGACCAAATGACAAACTCAACCCACATGAACATTGCCCCTCAGGCCTCATATCCCTGCTGCATGATGTTTTCTGTGTGCCCAGGTATGCTTTCCCTCAGAGCACCTGCTTCTGTTCTTCCTCAGCTCCAGCCCAGCCCTGGGACCATCAGGGGAGATTTTGACTGCTTAAAGCAGTCTGCAGCCCTTTGTTTCCATTAGGAGTTGGGGCTGGGCAGAGGAGAGGGTTATAGGAAAATCTCAGAAACCTCAGTCCTTTGGGAAGTGAGTTGGCTCTTAGCAAATCAGCTTGGAGTTACCTGACTATGTGTTTCTGGACACACTCAAGCCATAACCCCCTGGACACTTTGGAAAAGCTCCCTGAGTTGACCATAGGAGAACCATATGGATACATCCCTTTGATTCCTCTGTTGTCTCCTTTTTCACAGATTCAGACAGGTGTAATCATATATAGGAAAATGACCATCCTATTTCAATCCAATTTAGCACCATTATGTCCTTTTAATTTACATAATAGAAAATAAATTATCTTATCCCCTTTTAAAGAAAGAATCCAAGAATTTGTTACTTGCCAAAAGGTGACTAGTTTGATCTGACGCTGGAGGCAGAATCCTAACATGAAGTGAACCACCCTGTTCTAAGCCCAAGCCCTTGCCAATACTCTCTTATATCCCCCTTCAACTGCATCTACAAAGAACCTCTGTCTGTTCATGTATGCAATGAGGAGTTGGGCAATAATGTATCCATGTGGGAATCCATAAGTTTCAGTCAGAAATGGTACAATTGGGAGAATATTCTGTAGTGAGGGCTGGGCCCCTTCACTCCTGTTTGTCTTCCCACAGTCCAGGAGATACAGTGAGCTATTCCCTGTAACCAGCTCAAGCTCATGGCTGCAATGGAGGAAAAACAGTGACATTGCTCCAGGCCTGTTTGGACTTGGCTGCCCTGAAGGTTACCTTGGCTCTGGGAAAGTTTGCTGAGTAAATTCATACATAAACAAGGGTGTAGAGAGAACTTTAGCCTACCTCACAGAATTATATATTAAGGATCCAAACTATTTTAACTAAAGCACTAGGTACAGAAATGTGCAGCTTATCTTCAAAGAACTGGGAACTCAAGTACCTCACTTCTACCCTGTGCCAACCACTGTGTCAGTCTACCTATGGTCTGTTTAACCCTCACACAGGTATTATCCTCATTATGCAGCCGAAGAAAATAATAGGAAAGAATAAGCAACCTGTCTAAAGCAAAACAGCTAAAATTCAAATCCAGGGTCGAAATTTTAACTCCGTTAATTTGCAGAAAGGATCCGACAATGAACATTTTCCTCAAATTCAGAGTATTCTTCCTAAAAACTCCAGCACATGTGAATTTTGTAGTCATAGTATCAGTTCCATCATTCCCAGGAATAAGGGCAGCAGGCCAGCCATGGCTCTCAGCAAGGGTGAGAGTGTATCACGGGTTGTGCAGTCAACTCCCCAAGCTCTTTCCACACTCAACTGCAAGAAAATACAGAATCAGAAGTCAGATCAGGAGCTTGTGGCCTGGAGCTCACATTTAACTAAACATTTTCAGATCTAGCCTAGACACATGGGTTTTCCAAACTCCACAGGTCTGTAAAGCCAAGTTTCCATCATCCAATTGCCATGCTAGGAAAAGAGGCCAAACCAGGGAGGCCCAGGTTGTCAACAAGAAAGAAAGGTGGACATCTGTACATTGTGAGATCCTAAATCAGATGACTCCTTATGACCAGGAGGATGACTAGCTGCTGTTTAACAAGCCTCAGCAGTCAAACCCAGTCACAGGGCACAGGAAGAGCTCTGGTCTGTGAGTGCAGTCGGAGGCAGAGCAGCCATGGGGATGAAAGACAGGATCTGCATGGCCTGTGTGACTGGAGCAGGTAGGTTCTCTGAGTTTATCTGCCAGCCTACTCCCAGGCTGTGTCCTGGCTTGGAGATCACAGGAGAAAGACACAGCTCTTTCTCCCCTGGGTGGGCTTTAATTGTGCTGGTTCTCATTGCCAGGGGATATTGGAGCTGTCATTTGGGACAGTCCAGCAGCAAGTGGTTAGCTCACAATGGTTCCAAACTATAGCAGTTAATGCTTGATGTCCAAACTTTGATCTGAATAATTTTGGAGGTTTTTTTTCTTTTTTTATAATATTGTGGTAGAATACACGAAACATAAATTATACCATTGCTACACTTTACTTATTTTCATTTTTTTAAAGATATAGATGACAGTAGAGTGCATTTTGATACATTATTGATACATGGACTATAACTTGTTCTAATTAGAATCCCATTCTTGTGATTGTACATGATGTGGAGTTTCACTGGTCATGTATTCATATATAAACATATATATGTCCAATCATTCTATTGTCATTCCTATTCTCATTCCCCCTCCTTCCCTTTGACTAATTCAATTAACTTCTATTCTTCCCTCCCCTTTCCCCCATTGTGTGTTAGCATCCACATATCAGAAAGAACATTTGGCATTCAGGTTTTTGGGACTGGCTTATTTCACTTAGCATGATAGTCCCCAGTTCCATCCATTTACAGGCAAATGGCATAATTTCATTCTTCTTTATGGATGAGTAATATTCCATTTGTATATATACCACATTTTCTATACCCATTCATCTGTTGATAGGCATCTAGGTTGGTTTCATAGTTTACCTAATGTGAATTGAGCTATTATAAACATTGATGTGGAAGCAATATTGTAGTATGCTACTTTTAAGTCCCTTGGGTGGGGCTAGGGCTATAGGTCAGCGATAGAGTGCTTACCTAGCACATGTAAGGCCCTGGGTTTGATCCTCAGTACCACATACAAATGAGTAAATAGAATAAAGTTATTTTTTTAAAAAGTCTCTTGGGTATATACCAAAGAGTGCAATAAATGGGTAAAATAGTGGTTCCATTCCAAGTTTTCTGAGGAATTTCCATATTGCTTTCCAGAGTGATTGTACCAATTTGCAGACCCAGCAGCAATATATGAGTGTGCCTTTTCTCTGACATCCTCTCCAACATTTATTGTTACTTGTATTCTTTTTTAAATATGTATATTTTTTAGTTGTGGAAGAACCTTATTTTTAATTTCTTATTTGTATGTGATGCTGAGAATCAAACCCAGTGCCTCACACATGACAGGCAAGCGCTCTACCACTGAGCCACAACCACAGGCCTGTTACTTGTATTCTTGATAACTTCCATTCTGACTGGAGTGTGATGAAATCTCAGTGTAGTTTCCATTTGCATTTCTCTAATTGCTAGAGATATTGAAATTTTTTTCACATATTTCTTGACCATTTGTATCTCTTCTGTGAAGTGTCTGTTCAGTTTCTTTTGCCTATATATTGATTGGGCTATTTGGATTTTTTTGGTATTAAATTTTTTGAGTTTTTTATATATCTTGGAGATTAATGCTCTATGTGAGGTGAAGGCAGCAAAGATTTTCTCCCATTCTGTAGACTTTCTCTTTACGTTCATGATTGTTTCCTTTGCTGTGAAGAAGCTTTTTAGTTTGATACCATCCTATTTATTGAGTCTTGATTTTACTTCTTGCACTTTAGGAGTCTTATTGAAAAAGTCAGTTCCTAAGCCAATATGATGAAGAGTAGGGCCTATATTTTCTTCTAGTAGGCACAGGGTCTCTGGTTTAATGCCTAGATCCTAGACCCACTTTGAGTTTTGTGCAAAGTGAGATATATGGGTTCAATTTCATTCATATGGATTTCCAGTTTTCCCAGCACCATTTGTTAAAGAGGGATCTTTTCTCCAATGTATTTTCACGGCACCTTTGTCTAGTATGATACCTGCGTTTATGTGTTTGTCTCGGTGTCTTCTATTTTGTTCCATTAGTCTTCATGTCTTTTTATACCAATAGCATGCCATTTCTGTTACAATAGCTCTGTAGTATAATTTAAGTGGATGCCTCCTGCTCCACTTTTCTCACTGAGGATTTCTTTAGCTATTCTGGGCCTCTTATTTTTCCAAATGAATTTCATGACTGCTTTTTTATTTCCATGAAGAATGACATCAGAATTCCACTAGAAATTGCATCATATCTGCATAGTGCTTTTGGCAGGATGGCCATTTGGCAATATTAATGCTGCCCACCCAAGAATGGGAGGTCTTTCCATTTTCTAAGATCTTCTTCAATTTCTTTCTTTAGTGTTCTGTAGCTTTTATTATAGAGGTCTTTCACCTCTTTAGTTAGATTGATTCCCAAGTATTTTATTTTTTGAGGCTACCATGAATGGGATAGTTTTCCTAATTTGTTTTTCAGTTGCTTCATCATTGGCATATGGGAACAAAACTGATTTACTGGTGTTAATTTTATATCCTGCTACTCTGCCATTGCTACAGTTTATAGTGTACAGCTTAGTAGTATTAAATGTATTCACACTATTGTACAACCAATCACTGAGTTTTTCATGCTGTAAATCTGAAACTTTGTACCCATTAAATACTTCTCCGTCCCCTCCCCCAGCACCTAGAAACCATTTCACTTTTTTTTTTTTTTTTTACATTTACAGAAATGTATTTCCCATAAATTCGACTAGAGGATTTTTAATACAGTAAAACTCTCTAATTTTTCCTATTAATATACACAACAAACAGTCCATAGAAGGCCTATTTCACACACACACAGTAGCAAAGACAAATATTACTCATGGGTGCAGTCACAGCCTCCCCTGCCTTAGACGGGCTCACGTTCAACACCCTGATTCACTGTCTGCTGGAAGTTGGAGAGACCTGTGGGCTGGCTACAGGTGCTGCTGAGGGGGCTGGCAGGAGGCGCTCAGCTCACAGGGCCCTACTCTGCAGCTACACCCACCCTCCCCATGCCTCCCCTTAGTGGAGCTTCAGGCCATGAGCTTTGGCAATGGGAGCTGGGCTTCCATGATCAGCCAACATGACAGACATTAGAGCTGGATCCAGGCAATTCAACCTGCGCATTTACTGAAGCCCATGTGGACAGGATTTGGTCTTTTCACTGCTTGATCTGCACAGACACTTGTCCAGGACTGGAATGGCCACATGAAATGAGTTTCCAAAACTGAACCTTCTGGGTGGTGAGAAGGAAAGAGGAAGAGAGGCCTTTCCTGCCACCGGATGCACACATCCCACAGGATGGGAAGCCCCAAGGACCTGGCTCCTGCCTGCCTCTCCCATGTGCCTGCCCCTCCCCACACAGTGTTCCAGCAAGGAAGGCTTCTTTTTCTGTTGTGTACACACTCAAGACCACTGAGAGTCAGGAACTCCACAGCTCCCTCCCCACACTCAGCTCTCAACATCTATCTTTGAAAGACGGTTTGAACTTCAGCTTTACCAGAAAGTGTTCACTGAGACAACCACTGGGTACAGTGACTTCTTTGGAAGATATCCCAAGACAAAGGTTAGGGAGTGGGAAGAAGTCAGAAGAGGTGGGTCAGTAAAGGAGCAGGTAACCATGGGGCAACCAGTCATCTAGACACCACGTCCTAGAACAAGACACCCTGTTGGCAAGGGGGGATACTGAGGGGAATGCACCTCACAACAGTCCCACCAATGGTTATGCAAGTGTCACCTTAGAGTACTTCATGGGGCTGCACATTTGCTTTGTGTATTATCGTGTATCAGCACTTTACAAGATTCTTAAAAAAGTCCTGAGGAGTGAGGAAGGCTAGGTGCACACTCACCAACTCCTGTCCATCTTTGTTGAGAGCCACTGTGGGGACACTTCTGGCAGGGAAAGTCCTTAGGCAACAAGACCCAGGAAGGCCTCTGCACAAGGGTCACTATCCTACATGGACAGAAGGCCCTGTAGATCTGCTCTGCCACTCCCTGATGTCACACCCACCTCTCTTGTGCCTTTCTGAGAGTCCTAGGGGCCTAAACTTCAGGGTCCCTCACTGTCCCAGGGACGGAGGTGTCACTAACCTCCTGTTTGCCCACTGACAAAGTGACATGTAAGCAATGAAAGGAACCTGCCCAGAGCTAGAGAGACAGAGTAGGGCTAGTCCTACCACTGAAGCCCTTTCTTTAAGGAAACAGAGCACAATGATGAAAAGGTTAGAGGTTTAAGTCTTACACAATACCCCCTGTGTGGCCCAAGGCAGAAGTGGGTGACCCTTGAAAGGAGAGAGGACTTAAATGCATATATATATATTTTATTTATCTATGTGGTGCTCAGTATTAAACTCAGGGCCTCTCACATTCGAGTCGAGCACTCTACCGCTGAGCCACAACCCCAGCCCCCAGACTTAAATGCGCTTAATGACAGGTTTTGGTTAGTACAGAAAGAAGTGCAAGGAGCCAGGGACAGGTTGCCAATTTAGGTTCCAGAGAACAGTCTGTTAGTCTCCTCAGGAGCAAGGGTTCACTTCATTTTTAAGTTACTAAAGTAACTCATCATATTCACAGAAAGGTAGCAAACAGGTGTACAAGTCATTGAGAATCCCACGGCCACCACTCTGAATGCTTTTGTAACATTTGCCTTGAAGCTTTTCACAGGTCAGATGCTTTGAGTGTTTTTTAAAAATAAAAAACAAAACAAAAAAAAACAACACAGGGCTTCACTCTGCTGCCCAGTCTGGCCCTCTATATCTGGACTCAAGCCATCTTCCGGCCTCAGCCTGCCAGTTAGCTGTGCCCCACTGCACTCTGCTCAGCTGGGGTGACTTTTGTCTGTCATCAAAGTTGGCGGTGAAGGAGGTCTTTCTGGAACCCCTCTCTTGGCCCCCGCTCCCAGGTGCTCACTCTGATTGTAAAATCACCACCTCATGAGGAGAAAGGGCACCAAGGTGGAAAGCTCTGGACAGATGCCAACGGCTGGATCCCCTCCCAGCTGTGCCACTTTCCCTTAGCCTTCCCACCAGCTGCTTCATCAGAACCACATAAAAAATACTGGTACCTGGCCTGCCCCCACCTTGTGCAAGGGTGACGTGCAGCTCCCTGACCTTCCTTTCAAGCCTGTCACAGGCCAGCATGGTGGTCTATAACTGCAGCTCTGTCCTCCTCACTGTACTGGAGACATCTCCCTGGTGGGACCTTGCCACTCACTGCCCAGCATTCAAGTTCTTGGCTCCTGTGGGTCACAGTGAAGGGCAGATGAGGAATGGTGGCTGAATGATACTGCATATGTCAGTCACCTAGGTGATACTGTAAATGAAGGGAAAAAATCAGAAATTCTTAAGCTTCATTTGCTTTTAGTTATTTGCTTTGTTGTCAAGTTTAGAGGTCAGACAGTTATGCAACGTAGTCCCACTGCTTTACTACAGACAATATCTTTCATGGGTCAAGATGGTAACAGTTGTCCAACTTTTTATCAGGAACTTAGAAGTATCTCAAACTGACTGAAACCACCCACCTCTCACACAGGTGTCCAAAGGGTCACTTTTGAAGTTAGAAACTGAATATTCCACCCTGAAAGCACATAAACACACCATTTTCTGTGGATGTGTCCTAGGAAGATGCCCACACTTGATTACTCATATGCAGAACACTGATTACATCACTTTCCCCTATTGCCAATCATTTCTCTCCACAACTCAGACCACCCTGCTGCTTTATATCACAAATACCTGAAACTGTATCCTTGGGAGGTGTTTTGGAAACCTGGGACTACCATCTTCTAACATTTGACCACCTTGTGAATAAATATTCTATTCTTACTGTATCAGGGTAGAGCATACAACATACAAAAGGGATTCCATTCCTTAATAGTATAACAAATACCTAAGATATAGCAATTTGAAAAGAGGAAAGGTAGTTTTTTTGCTTGTTTTGCCCTGTTGCTTTCAGTCTGTGGAGGCTCAGTACATCATAGGTTGAGTTGACATACATCCATTCACTCCATGGCTGATATGAAAGTAAAGAGGAAAGGGTAGGATCCCACAATCCCTTTTAAGGACCTCCCCTATATCTGACTTTTTCCAGGTAGGCCCACATCTTACAAGTTTTACCATTTCCTAATAGCCACACATATGTACATGTGTGTATATATTACATACATATATATAGACTGTACATGCTGAGGCAATTTATGTGACTAACACAGAAGAAATTCTTAGTGTGCTGACTCATCAAACAGCCAGCTAATTGGACTTGATTACAGGGGAAGAAGGAAACATGCAAAGCATGGGGACAAAAGGTATCAGTTTTTAGTTTTTCTTTTGTACTTCTTACATTTACCAAATGTATTTCATATTGAAATTGAGGTGAGCACAAATGCTTGTCTGAACTGCACTTGGGGGTGGGGGCTGGAGTACTGAGGATTGAATCCAGGGGATACATTACCACTGAGCTACATCTTCAGACCTCTTTTTCTTTCTTTCTCTCTCTCTCTTTTTCTTTTAATTAAGACAGGGTCTTGCTAAATTACTGAGGCTGGCCTCAAACTTGTGATCCTCTTGCCTCGGCCTCCAAGGTGTGTGCCATGCCTGACTAAACTGCACATATTCCTGAAGGCAAATTCATTTGCTCAGTGAGTCAACAGTGGCAGAAATCCAAGGCTTACAGGACTGATGATTGCTTTCTGCTAGTTGAGCTGAGCTAAAGCTGTCAGAGGCTCACATGAAACCATCTACAGATCAATTGAATCACTTCTGCCTCAGCCAATTATTTCAGTAGAAATAATTATTTGTATTTATTCTTCCAAAAGCAATATTCAACTTTTAAAAATTGCTTTTATTGTGAGACATAAATACAAAAAAAGAGTACAAAATACAAATGTACAGCTTAGAGAAGTAAACCCCATTTGCCTACCACAGGTTCAGAAAAAGAACATTTCTTTAAATGTTATTGTATTTTTTATACCTTTATTTATCTTTATGTGGTGCTGAGGATCGAACCAGTGCCTCACACATGCTAGGTAAGCACTCTACCACTAGGCTACAACCTCAGCCTCAAGAACAATCATTTTTAAAAAAAAAATCACATGCCTCTTCCTACTCACCACAAGTGACCACTATCCAGATGTTACTTTCTTGCATTTCTTCTTAATTATCTTCCTTATAAGCAAATCTTCAAAAACACTGTTGAGTTTTGAGAAGCTGAGCAGCAATCACAGACCTGGCTTGGTCAAGGAAGGGCAATTATGCTCCCACTAGGTACAAGCTCCCAGAAGACGAGCTGAGCACAGGTGCGGGCTTCAGCTCTTCTCATGTCTCTGGAGACCTTCTGGGAGTGCCAACAGCGAGGGTGTGATGAGGTATTGCTTATCCAGCAAAAATGTGGTCAAAGGGCAGTGGCCACTGTGGATTTTTTGCCTGGAAGGAATATCAATGTCCCCAGGTACTCTTGAGAAGCAGGGTATGTAGTGGACTTGGTACACCTGGGCATTTTGTCTTCAAATACCAAAGCAGTTGGATCCTCCGTGGTCATAATCTTAAATGAGTCTGTCTCCTGAGACAGCACAGACTGGAATGGCGGTCCTCTGGGGAAAATACTGCTATCCTCTGTCAAGCTTCCTTATCATCTCATCTCTCTGGAGATGTCTTTCTTTTCCCTTCACTGACTTTCTCATTTTAGTGGAGGCACTTCCTCCCATAGTTTCCTGGGGATGGTGGAAGGAGGTAGATAGATGAGGCTACCTGTATGCCCTGGATGGAGGGCTTCAACTACTTCAGACCACTTTTCTAAGGGCCTGTTGACTCCACAGAACCCATCAAAATGAATGAATTCTCAGAAAAGAAGGAAGGGCCGAAAATTAGGTGAGTCAAGAGTTAACTTTAGGTTAGCACTTCCCTACTCTTGGGTAAGAGTAGAAAGATAGAAATGGAAAACCTGGGCTTTGCAGTGCAGATGCAAAAAAGGGGAATTTGGTGCAGCAAAAGTTTCTAGGCTAAGGATCTGGACATTAGGCCTGAGTTCCATGAAAATAGAAGGAAAAATTTAATAAGTCCTTCAGTCTCACTTGATTCCAGGTTCTTGCTTCTATTGTCAATTTTACAGATCATACAGCTAAACAACATACTCCCACTAACTTTAGGCATGCTATAGGTTAATACCTCTGATATATGGGTCTCAGTAATAATAGGTGCCTAAGTTCCTTTTCAGGAACTTCAAGGCTGCTTTTGTCTATTTTAAAGTACCTAAAATAACCAAATCCTCACTTAGGCCTGTGTGGGTATCTGGTAGGTTACTCTTAGAATTCAGAGGACCAGAACACCCCATTATCAGAGTACACTAATACTGTCCCCCACCCCTTTTGTTACTGGGGATTGAACCCAGAGGTGCTCTACTATTGAGCTACATCCACACCTTTTTTAATTTTGAAACAGAGTCTCATTAAGTTGCTTAAGGCCTTGCTAAGTTACTGAAGCTGGCCTCCTGGCAATCCTCCTACCTCACCTCCTGAGAGCCACAGCAGGAATCTTGAAAGGTAATGACAGCCTATGTTAGGGTGGTGCTGTGAGAACCAATGGGATGGATTTCAGGAACATTTCTAAATAATCAGTGTCTGAAGACAATAAGAGAAGCACTGAAGCTCTCCACTGGATGGATGTGGGAGGAGGATGTGGGAGAAGAGCCGCTGTGCAGATGAAAGTGGAGAGAAGCTCCTGAAAGTCCACTTACTTTTCCCATCCTGACATTTACCTTGGTCTTGAAAGTCTGTCTGTAACATAACATGGGCATCCACTTCTAGGTCAGTGATGGAGCATGTGCTTAAAATGTATGAAGTCCAAATAAAGAAAATAGGTATGTGGGGGGTGTGTGTGTATGCAAATGTCAAGGTAGAGGAATGCTTCCACATTATAAGACCAGAGAGACTCAACAACTCACTCAGATAGCTAGAGAAACTTGAGTAGGGCCTGAAGATTAGATGGCAGCAAACTGCTAATGCTAATATCCTGATTTTGATGGTTGGTTATGTAAAATATCCTAGTGGTTAGGAAGTCTACATGAATGTACTTGACGAGGAGGGGCATGGGCTGGACACGTACTTTCAGGGATTTCGGGGGAAAAAATGTGTAGCTTTTGGGTATACTGATTCAAAATAAAAATTTCATTTGAATAAAGTTTTATTTTGGCAGTTTTAAAAAAATTTCTTTGTCTTAAAGAGAAAATAGAGAATATTCCCACAAGATTGGAACAGATGAGAAGAATCTTCAGCTCTAGCTTCAGTTCATTAATTTGAAAAATGCTTACATGAGACCACATCTGGGTCAAACTGAAAGTGGGTACTTCAGAGCAGGTATTTTTCTCTGCTAGCTTGATGTCTGGACTCCTCCAAGCAACTGCTTAATATGTCACCGGCTGAGGGAGCGATGAAGAGCTTCATACATCATTTGATCCTGAGAGGAGGAGAGAAACAGAATATAGAGCTGACCACAAATGGTTATATGCTGAATGGTGTACCCCTCAAATTCACAGGTTCAAGCCCTAACACTCAGGACCTCAGAATGTATCTGTATTTAACATGACTCTCATCACTGTCTACTAAGCTTTGCCTTGAAAAATCAATCAAGATTTTGAACAACCCACAATAAAAAATTAAAAAAAAAAAAAAAAATCAATCAAGAGGGGCCGGGGTTGTGGCTGGGTGGTAGAGTGCTTGCCTAGTACTTGTAAGGCACTGGGTTTGATCCTCAGCACCATATAAAAACAAATTAAAAATAAAGCTAAAATAAACAAACAAAGAGATTCTTATGCCCATATCTAATTAGTAAAACAGGTATAATTCTAAAGTATCACAAATCCAGACGGAAACACAAGGCAAAAGTAGAAAATTCTTAAAGTGTAATTTACATTTCCAAGAAAGTACGAATGTTTTTCAATGTGGTTGAACCATTTTATGTTTATAAGTAACAATCTAGTTGCCTAACATCTTGGTACTGTTTGGTGCTGCCAATCTGTAAAATTTTATTTCACTCTGAAAGGTGTGTGATGGAATCTCTTAATCTCTTAAGCTGGGTGGTAATTCTACTCCTATATATTTATCTGAAAGAAACACTTGCTGCATGTTTTTGTTTGTATCCTGGCCCTTTAAAATCTATTTTAAAAGGCAACTGTGTTAAAGTTTTCATCTGGATAAGTATATAATATTTATAAGATTTAAAAATATATAAAAATATGAATGGAAAAAGACTCTCCTATACTTCCCTCCCCTACAACCAATGTAATTTATCTTTTCAGATTCTCCTTCTACATATATAAGCAAATGTTATAATTTATTATTTTACCTTTTTTTTGGTACAAAAAATACTACAGTACTTTCTAAATACAATTCCTAAATTTTTTATTTAATGATATATTTGGGAGATATTCTTTAGGTTTTAGAAAAGTTATATCATAATTCATAACACAAATACTTAAAGTTTTAATCTTTACTATATTTTCTTGAGGATAAATTAACAGAAAGCTGGGTCATGTATTGTTATAATTGTGATTTTGGCAGGCAAGCCAAACTGCTATCCATAAGGGCTGGAATGATGGATAACCCACCAACTGAGTAAGAGTATGTCTATTTCCTTACACCATAGCCAAATGCTTGTTGTTTATAAGCCAACAAGTTTATGGTATTTTTGAGACAGCAGCACTGACAGTCTGAGACAGAGACAGAGTAAATATTTCATTCAAAATAGAAAACCATTTCCTGGAAGAAGTAAATTTTTCAAGTAACTTCCAAATTGTTCCAGAGGGAACTAAGAAAATACTGATTTAACTCTTAAATAGGACTAAAGGGCCTTTGTTTCTCAACATCACCACTAAATAACATAGTAAAGTTATCTTAAGTGTCTTTTGTTTAATCAGACTAAAAAAATTCTTTTTTTACAAGTAACTGTATTACAAAACTATGTCTATACTGGGTGCAGTGGTGCACGTCTATAAATCCCAGCAGCTCGGGAGGCTGAGACAGGAGAATTGTCAGTTCAAAGTCAGCCACAGCAACAGCGAGGTGCTAAGCAACTCAGTGAGACCTGTCTCTAAATAAAATACAAACTAGGGCTGGGGATGTGGCTTAATGGTCAAGTGCCCATGAGTTCAGTTCCTGATTCACCCCAACCCCCCAAATCTATTACAAACATATTAGAAAACACAGAACAACAGAAATAAAAATAATCCTTCCCAGAAATCACTCTCATTACCTTGGTCTCCTTCAACTTACAACTGTGATTTTAAAATATGAAATGTCATCCTCCACTCACTCAGTCTCCCTCCCCATGAGCAACCATTATGACTACTCTGAGAAGGATCTTTAAGATTAGTTAAGTAAGCCAAACAAGGAAAGAAGACTCTTGACCTTGATGATACTTCTTATTTTTAAAGGTTCAAACAATAATAATCCATTTAAGTTATCTTCTTTACATTATTCACTCAAAATTAATACTATGCCTTTTTCAAAATAAATAAATAAATAGTAGATCCTTACTCACTTGATGCTTTCCAAAACAATATGTAAAGTGTAAGACATATTCCCCAAAGATAGCGAAAAAACAACAGAAGCAAGTCACGTTTTACTAGAACATATATATACCCTTCCAGGGGATGTTCCTAAGTTCTTGCAACTGATCTACAGATTCGATAAAATGTCATTCAATATCCCATCAGGTTTTTTTCTATAAAGATTGATAGGCCAATTGTCAACATTATATGGAAATACAAAGGACCTAAAATAGATAAGGAAAAAAGGTGGGAGTACAAACTTGGGGCATGTACTCAACCTACTTTCAAGACTTATTATGAATCTGTAATGACATAGACAATGGCAAAAAGACCTAGTGGTATAGAGATGAAGATCAATGAACAGAAGAAATAGTGCCAAAATAAATTCATACATATACATATGTGATCAATAAATAGAGAGCATGATAGTTCACTGAAGGACAGAATCATCTTTTTACTAGAGCCAGAGTAGATAGCTATGTGGGAAAAAGTAACTACCATCCCTACCTGATATCAAATACAAATACTATATCTCACCCCGCAAAAAAAGGAGTCTGTACGACATATGAACATATAAGTTCCTTAACTATACACTGCAACATCTATTTATATAGCATTTTGTAATATAAATGTTCTAGATTTGATTTACAATATATGGAAGGGTGGTACACAGTTTACAAACAGTCATTTTATATAACAAACTTGATTTTGGTACCTATGGGGGTCTTTCCCCACACATACTGATGGATGAATGTAATTTGAAATGGAAATACATACAAATGTAAAGCTAAAACTATACTATTTCTTTTTTTTTTTTCACAATACCTTTATTTATTTATTTTTATGTGGTGCTGAGGATCAAACCCAGGGCCTCACACCTGTTAGGAGAGCACTCTACCGCTGAGGCACAACCCCAGCCCCTAAAACTATAGTATTTCTAAAGGAAAAAAAAATACAGGATTAAAAATTTTAACCATTTGGGATAGCAGAGATTTCTTATGACATAAGAGATTTCTTAATACATAAGCCATGCAAAACAAATAAAAATTGGACAGCATTCAAACAATAAAAATCCTGTTTTTTCAAAGGTTATCTTTAAAGTATAAAGATAAACCACATGTTAGGAAAAAATGTCCTCAATGTGTATTTGATAAAAGACTTCAACCTGGGAAAAATTAAGAATCTATCTACACTTCAGATAGAGCCCTAATATCCAGAGTATACAAAGAACTCAAAAAATTAAACAATAAGAAAACAAACAACCCAATCAACAAATGGGCCAAGGACCTGAACAGACACTTCTCAAAGGAGGACATACAATCAATCAACAAGTACATGAAAAAATGCTCACCATCTCTAGCAGTCAGAGAAATGCAAATCAAAACCACCCTAAGATACCATCTCACTCCAGTAAGATTGGCAGCCATTATGAAGTCAAACAACAACAAGTGCTGGCGAGGATGTGGGGAAAAGGGTACACTTGTACATTGCTGGTGGGACTGCAAATTGGTGCAGCCAATTTGGAAAGCAGTATGGAGATTCCTGGGAAAGCTGGGAATGGAACCACCATTTGACCCAGCTATTCCCCTTCTCGGTCTATTCCCTAAAGACTTAAAAGAACCTACTATAGGGATACTGCTACATCGATGTTCATAGCAGCGCAATTCACAATAGCTAGACTGTGGAACCAACCTAGATGCCCTTCAATAGATGAACGGATTAAAAAAATGTGGCATTTATACACAATGGATTATTACTCTGCACTTAAAAATGACAAAATCATGGAATTTGCAGGGAAATGGATGGCATTAGAGCAGATTATGCTAAGTGAAGCTAGCCAATCCCTAAAAAACAAATGCCAAATGTCTTCTTTGATATAAGGAGAACAACTAAGAACAGAGCAGGGAGGAAGAGCATGAGAAGAAGATTAACATTAAACAGGGACGAGAGGTGGGAGGGAAAGGGAGAGAGAAGGGAAACTGCATGGAAATGGAAGGAGACCCTCACTGTTATACAAAATTACATATAAGAGGAAGTGAGGGGAAAGGGAAAAAAAACAAGGGGGAGAAATGAATTACAGTAGATGGGGTAGAGAGAGAAGATGGTGGGGGAGGGGAGGGGGGATAGAAGAGGATAGGAAAGGCAACAGAACACAACAGACACTAGTATGGCAGTATGTAAAAACGTGGATGTGTAACCGATGTGATTCTGCAATCTGTATATGGGGTAAAAATGGGAGTTCATAACCCACTTGAATCAAATGTATGAAATATGATATGTCAAGAACTATGTAATGTTTTGAACAACTAATAATAAAAATTTTAAAAAATTTAAAAATAAATAAAACATGTCTGAAACTGGAAAAAAAAGAATCTATTTACAATTCATTAAGAAAAAAAATCTAATTTTTTAAAAAGAGCAAAAGATGAGAATACAAAATAAGATATACAAATGATCAATAAGCATGAAAATATGCTCCACAATTTAAATGAAAATTTAAATCACAATTTGATACTAGATATTTCCATTCAGTAGAATGGCTAATCAGTTAAAATTAAAGATTCACTGTATCTAACTCTTAGTGAGAAAGAAAAGCAAATTGAAAGCTCCAAAAATATAAAATGGAACAGCCACTGTGAAAAACAGGCTGATGTTTACTTTAAAGTGTATGTATAAAAACACACACTTACTACTTGCCCCAGCGATTCCGTCTAGTTTTTTTACTTTAAGGAAATAAAAACACATATTCGTGTAAATAGGTATGTGTGTATGTGTAGGTATGTGTGTGCGCAGAATATCCACAGCTGCTTTATTCATAAAGGCCACATCTGGAAACAACCCAAGCGTCCACTAATAGGTGAAAGGATAGGAAAACTTGTGACATATTTATACAAAGGCATATTGCTCAGCAGCAGAATGGACTCAACTACTGAAAAACAGAACAACAGAGAAGAATCTCAGAACATCACACTGAGTGAAAGAAGCCAGACAGGACTATTGTTTTTACCATTCCATCTAAAAAATGTTCTAAGACAGGCAAAGTGAGAGTATGGTGGCAGAATCAGATCAGTGGTTGGTTATGGAGTTGGTTTTGACAATAAAAGAACACAGAAGTTTCTGAACGGATGAAAATGTTCTGTACTTTGACAGTAGTGCCGGTGACAAAGTCCAAGACTCAAGGAATGGTACAATTAAGCTTGTACAATTTCAATGTAGAAAGTAAGGCTAGAGCTGAAGAGTGACAAATGTGGAGCTAAGTCATATGTTCTAACAATGTGACAACTAAAATGCAGGATCAAAGTAAAAAATAATTTCCATTAAAAGAAAAAAAGTACACCATCAAATCTTTACAAGAAAAATTGTGATCTACTCTCTTGTAGATCAGAATGAAAAGGGCCAACAATATCCCCTATAAAACTGATTCTAATTAGTAAGACTATATTTTACTGAAGGATTTTCAGTAAAAGAAAAACATTTTCTCTAGTACCCAAGATGCTGAGAATTCAAAGCAGACTGTTGTTTTCTAGCCATGGTGAAAGTCTCAGTCCAGGTGAGGTCAGTTCTTACTCCAGCTGAAAAAGTCATATGCCCATAAGATACCACACCAGCGCAAACCCTTAACAGGTTACTCGCTTCAGTTAAAGCTATAAGATGGTCAACTAAGATAACACGTAGAACATGGGGCATGAAACATAGCACCTCAATTCATACAATTGCTTTGAACCCTGATGTAAAAAGAGTTTCAATCAACAATCATAATGAGAATTGCTGAATCTGGGGTGATAAATGGCCAATGATTTAAGGGGAGTTTTAATACAGTCAAAAAACAGGTCCTCATGACTAAAGCAGATTCTGGAAACTTATGAATCCCAAGTGAACAAATAAAACATCACAACTGTGTCCAATTCAGACATTTCTTAGGGTTAGACATTTTCATTCCAACCTTCTATAATCACCACAATAACCTAATTTCACTTATAGCAACCATTTTAGTTTACTGCAGATAGAAAACCTGAATATAGGACGAAACATGTAAAACCTGGCACTTTATGGAAGAAGTCAGAGTGATTTTTTTTTAACACTTTTTCTCCTTGTGGTGAATGTATTTCCACCTCCCTGAAATATAAGGGTAATCTCTATGGGTTACTTTGGGTACCGTCCATCTCCAAGAAGATAAAAAACTATTTGTCGAAAATGGTGGGGTAACTGGGCATGGTGGCATATGCCTGTAATCCCAGTGACTCCCGAGGCTGAGGAAGGAGGCTCTTGAGTCCAAAGCCACCCTCAGCAATTTAGTGAGGTCCTAAGCAACTCAGGGAGACCCTAATAAAACATTTTTTAAAAAAAGGACTGAGGATGTGGATCAGTGGTTAAGTGCCCCTGGGTTTTTTTTTTAAAAAGGGGGAAGGTGGGTAGATCAAATAATATTTGAATATCAATGAGTAAGAATTATGAAACTGTGGGAGCATACATGAGTACTCATTATCTCTGAAATAAACAGGGGCTGGACATCTAATGTGCAGAACTATGATTCAGTAAAAATTAAAATTTCCCCAAACATAAAGGTCATTATTTAGCTTGTTTCCAGGTCAAAATTTAATATGCAATTTCTTTCAGAAGAAATGATCTATAAAATACTTTATGAATCACGAGTTCAGGTCTACTGCTTTGACCTCAAATCTTTTTTTAAGATACAGAAGAATGTTTCTTACCTTTACTGATATAGATGGTTTCACTTTCTTGAAAGCTTCTTCAAAGTGTGTATGATTAATCTTGAGCTCACCTGTGAAGCAAATGCACAAATATATACTTCTCAGTAGAGAATACTAACTGTGAGTTAAAACTTAGTTTCTCTTGGAAAATGTCAGCTTTCAAAGAAAACTGACGACACTGAATGAGGAGATGGGTTCTATTCTTTACCCAAAGAGTATTCAAGCAAAAAATATTCTACTCATCAGTTTATAATGCAGTGCCAACCAAAGAGACTAATTACTCATAAATAATCCTTTGTTGGCCATCCTTGCTCTGCTTAACTCAACTCAATGTTGACATTTATAAAGAAGGAGCAAAACTATTCTCGATTCAGGATGATTCAAATATATTTGACTAGAAAAGGAAAGTAGAATGTCATAATATTTAAGAGTGCAGGGCTGGGGATGTGGCTCAAGCGGTAACACGCTCGCCTGGCATGTGCGGAGCACTAGGTTCGATCCTCAGCACCACATAAAATAAAATAAAGATGCTGTGTCCACCAAAAACTGAAAAATAAATATTTAAAAATCTCTCTCCTCTCTCTCTCTCTTTAAAAAAAAAAAAGAGTGCACAACATAGTATGATGTGACTTGGAAAATCATTTATATTTAAATACATATACCAAAGTATCAAAATACTGAATTACACACATTAAATAAGGAAATGAAATAAAATACATAATGTTAAAATACAGTTTTGTTTCTAATGTTAATATGATAACTCGTGTGACAATTTATAATTAAAAATAACAAGTTTTCTCCATAGAATTAGAATAGAATTATTACCTAAACAAAAAGTAAAATGTGTTGCTGAGGGGCTGGGGTTGTGGCTCAGTGGTAGAGCTCTTGCCTAGCGCATGCGAGGTCCTGGGTTCGATTCTCAGCACCATATAAAAATAAATAAATAAAATAAAGGTATTGTGTCTGACTACAACTAAAAAAATTTAAAAAAATTTTCATAAACATACATAAAATAAGATACAAACAAAATTAATACTAGCAGCACCAATATATGTGCTAGGGTCTGTTAGTCTTTAGTGACCAAATACACACCAAGAAAATGATGAGATTCATTTTTCAGATAGAATACTGATTTTTCATGCTAGAAAATATTCTAATTATCTGGGTGTGGTGGTTCATAGCTGTAATCCTACCAGCTCAGGAGGCTAAGGCTGGAGAATCACAAATTCTGCTAAGCAATTCAGTGAGACCCTGTCTCTAAATAAAATAACAAACAGGGCTGGGATGTGGCTCAGTTCAATCCCTGGAAACTCCCCCATCCCCTCCCAAAATTCTAATTTTGCTCATTGATATATTACCTATTTCCAAAATGAAATTTTAAAAATTCAGGGGCTGGGATTGTGGCTCAGCGGTAGAGCGCTCGCCTCACATGTGCGAGGCCCCGGGTCCGATCATCAGCACCACATAAAAATAAATAAATAAATAAAAGTATTGTGTCCAACTAAACTAAAAAATAAACACTTTAAAAAAAGAAATTCAGATAAATCGTTTCCTTTTCTTTTTTGGGGGGGGCGGGGAGGTGGTACACTGGGTAATGAACACCGAGATGCTCTACCACAAAGCTGCACCCTCAGTCCTTATTTATTTTTAATTTTGAGACAGGGTGTTGGTATGTTGTTAAGGCTGGTCTTGAACTTGTGGTCCTCCTGCCTCAGCCCTCTGAGTACCTGGGTATACAGGTGTGTGCCACTACACATGACTAGATAATTTCATCTTAATGAAGATATGTGTGTTGTCAAATCTAATCTAAGTATGTGCTGCTTTAGCCATAAAAAGAACTCAGCTTTGAGATTCTTGCAATGCAAGAAAAAAAGAAAAATCAATATAAATGCATAAAGACATTTTTTAAAAATCTACAGGCAGGCATGCAATACACACTGGACATTCCCATGAAAGTACAAGTACAGAGGACAAAATACCTCTTGTGAACAAAGGTATTCTGCAAAATTGCAGAAACACTCATAAACTGCAACTGGCCAAACTACTGTTCACAGCAGACAAGCAAAGTAAAGAGTACATGGCATGGTTGGAATGAAGGTCACAAAACTTTTCATCCATAACACACTTTTGTCAAAAGTGAAGGATGCTGCAAAGCTGTTGAAATGTTCCCAAATGAATGCATAGTGGACTACATGGATTGATTAGTAACAGTAGGTTTTCATTTTGTTTGTTTGTTTGATGCTGGGATATAGTGCTGGATGAAATGTAGGGTCTATGTGCAAGCTAGACAAGGGCTCTGCCCTGAGCTATACGCCCAGCCCATCTTGTATTTTGAAAGGAAAGTCCCAATATGGAAAGGTCTCTAATTTCCACAACTCACATATATTTCTAACCTTTGCAATTTAGGCTGCATTTTTTTTCTTTCCTACATTGTATTTTAACAGGAAAGGAGATGATACTTCAGCAAAAGGATGAGGGCTTCCAGAATTGATATGTGGAACATTCATAATGGAGACAGTGAATAGACTTGCTTCTACTTAATCACTTGTGTATGATGATAAAATATAATTCTACTGATTTTAGAGAGACAATGATTAATTTGTTATTATTACATTATCAAAAACAGAGGTTATATAATATTACAGAATAGCTTCTAAAGGTTCATTAGAGAATATAAGCATTATTGTAACAGAAAATAGATACTAAAAGCTGGTCATTTTCCAGGGCAACAGTGGTTTTAACTATTCAGTGATAAATTGAAATATTGTGGTGAGAATCATACATTTTCCATTTCCACTCTTCTGTCTTGCCATTTCCTGTCTCAGGGCACACAGAGAAGCTTCTCGTACCAAAGCAGAGAGATCTGCACCCCTGTAATAAAAGAAGTGTTCTTATTTATTTATTCTTAGATACTCCAAAAACCCCTAAAGGAGAAGGTGACAATTTTCTAAGGCCACATATTAAGCAATTAGGAAAGACACTGTTTTTATAACTGTATGGAGTAAGCAATCCAATGAGAAATAAACATTCCTAAGAGCCACAAGCAAATATTAATATAAAAGACCTTGTCAGAAGAAATTCACATATATTTACCATAGTACTTTTACTTATAAGGGCTATGTAACTAGCCCTTATAAACTCATATATTATATAATATCTAAAGTAAGCTTATATAAAAAGTCAATTATGAGCCAGGAATAGTAGTGCAACCCTATAATCCCAACTACTTGGAAAGCAAAGACAGAAGGATCCCAAATTGAAGGCCAGCTTGAATAACTTAACCAAACCCTATCTCAACAATAAAAAATAAAGGGGCTGGGGATGTGGCTCAAGAGGTAGCGCGCTTGCTTGGCATGCGTGCGGCCCGGGTTCGATCCTCAGCACCACATACAAACAAAGATGTCGTGTCCGCCGAAAACTAAAAATAAATATTTAAAAATTCTCTTTCTCTTTAAAAAATAAAATAAAAAGGACTCTAGATACAGCTCAATGGTAGAGCAACCTCAGAGTTCAGTCCCTAGTAGTGCAAAAAAATAAAGAAAGAAAAAAGAAAAAAAAATCCATGATTCCAAGTTGAAAAGGGGGAAACACAAAGCCTAGTCTTTCACGTGATTCAATGTCAAGCTGAGTGAAAACATCATAACAATACCTCATTTATGTGATTATTCCGTGGAATAATATGCTTACTTAGCACATTTACAGGATAAAAAGCATTGGTGTTAGGATTTTACCACATTCAAAGCTTCCTTTCTTTGTGTTTTGTTTTGGTACTGAACATTGAACTCAGAGGCACTTTATCACAGAGCTACATCCTCAGTCCTTTTTGAGACAGAATTTCACTAAATTGCCAAGGTTGGTCTGAAACTTACAATTGTCCTGCATCAGATTCCTGAGTCACTGGGATGACAGGCATATACCATGGTCCATGGCCCATTATAGCATTAAAATAATTTATTAAGAATCTTTGAGAAAAAGCATAAATTTCATAATTTAAAACCTCATTTCCAGACACAATCTTTATTTATTATATGATACACAGAACACATGAACCTAAAGACCACCAGAGGTTAAATTACTAACCATATACAATGTGTTTCTTGGCTAAGTGTGAGGTTTTAACATTATTTGAGAATAATATATATCCTGGGGTATACATTCTTGTCCTCTAATGTTAAATCTACATTGGTCAACTGATGCAAACAGATAACTGGAGGCAACAGTAGTAAAGTCTCTTTCAAAAAGTGATAAATATTATAATACCAGATGTGGTGGCACATGCCTGTAATCAAAGAAGCTCAAGAGGCTGAAGCAGGAGGATTGTAAATTAAAAAAAAACAAAAAACTCAGTAGTTATGCAGCCCTACGTTTAATCTCCAGTATCAAAAAACAAAACTAAACTAACTAAATAAATTAATAGATAAGTAAGCAAATAAATAAGTAACAAAGAAAAAGTGATGCTAGGGGGCTGGGGTTGTGACTCAGCGGTACAGCGCTTGCCTACCACTTGCGAGGTCCTGGGTTCAATCCTCAGCACCACATAAAAACAAACAAACAAAATAAAGGTATTGTGTACAACTAAAAAATAAATTTAAAAAATATTTTAAAAAATAGAAAAAAGAAAAAGTGATGATAGTACCACTAAAATCCAAAATGTTAACTCATGAAAACCAGCCTCTTTATAACCCGATATCCTATTTGATGTAATCCACAAGAACTTTCTGGGGTAAATTCTGCCATGAAAACTGTGTTTATCATTCACTACTTGTTTAAATCTTTTCTCCTCTCAAAGAAGCAACATCATGTACTAAAACAACATTATAGGTATGATTGTAATTAGACGGTGAGATGCATCCTACCTCAGTGGAGGGAGACCATTTATAACCCCACACAACCCCTGCCTGAGACTCTTACCATTTCCCTTCACTGTGAATCATTGTCTTTCACTCTATGAGACATGATTGCTGGCCACCATGTATTATGTCTCTTAGGATCACTGGGTTGGCAGAATCACTGAGATTCCCTGTCCTAGATGACCATACATGAAAAGACTGGAGATTAAACTGTGTATCCTGACCACACTCCCCAAAATCATCAGCATAATCTCAAGTAGAAATATCTGAATAAGAGAAGATTACATGAAATTCCACAATTAGAACTAGAACAACTGGGCACAATAATCACTACCAGTGGATATGCTATTAGACATAAATTTACACTGCTGAATAACAGATCCCAGAAATCTTCGAAGATGAAGACACAGCTTGCCTTACATGGCTGGGAAAACCCCACATTTTGGCCATGCCTTAGAGATATGTCCTAAAACCAAGCATATCAGGGACAATCAACGGGCTAACAGGTGGAGGCAATGTCTCTGTTAAAACATGTGTGCCATTTCCTTCCCTGTGTCCCCAATTGGGAAAGTTAACAAATTTACTTTAAACATATGAAGATCAGGCTGGGCACAGTGGTGCACACTAGCAACATCAGCAGCTCAGGAGGCTGAGGCAGATGGATCAGAAGTTCAAAGCCAGACTTAGCAACTTAGTGAGGCCCCAGGCAACTTAGCAAGATCCTGTCTCAAAATAAAACAAAAAAGAGATAGGGATGTGACTCACTGCTAGACCCTCTGGGTTCAATCACTGGTACCAAAAGAAAATGAAAAGAAAAACCTCAAAATTACCAAAACCATAAGCATATGAAAGCTGAGGCAGAAATGTCATGATTTTCTGATGGTATGGCAGGCTATGTAGCTATGAAGAGGTAAGCTGACAAAATGCTTTCTGTGGTTCTGCAGCATGAAGAATGTGGCACTTGTATATTAGTAACTTCCAAAGGCACCTGGATAATTTGGCAGCCAGTCATGAGTATAATATCTGCTCAAACAGTCTTAAAGCACAATGTGTGACGGACAGCAATATGGTTGGCACTGAAACTTGCCAAAAGGCAACATATGACCTGATTCCCCATTCCCAGAAATTCTATGAAGAAGAAGCAAGGACCAGCCAGACCCTACATTAGAAGCTTCATAGGACATCTCATTAACCTTCCCAATAACTGGGAGATGGGCATCATTCCCCTCCTTCTGCAGGTGAAGAAACTGAGCCCCACAGAGTCTACTGACTTGTGATTTAAATACTTACGTATAGCAATCACAGCGAAGATCACCAGCAATTGCTTCCAAATTTACATCTGCATCCAGGGGAGGTTTGGTGCCATTCTGAAGAAGACAGAAACATGAGCTTTCATTGGGGCTTTAAAGACCCTTATGCATCCACATCACAGGCTCTTATGGAAGAGGAGTAGCTGCTGAACTCAATGAAGAGAATCAACTCCCAAACCAATTTTACTCCCAAACCAGTGTGCCACAAGTTTCAATTCTGAGAAATGAAGGTAAGGAGCAGACTCCAAATGTGGGAAAGCTAGAGGAAAGCCATTTATGCTTATGAAGTTTCAAGAGTTCATATGCACTCCTAGGAAAACCACCTCCCAAACAAGAACAACAAAACCCAGCAACTCAACCTCTCCACAGGTAAAGCAACACTTCCATCCCCTGATTAAACACCCATTTCACAGGTGAAGCAGTACGTCCACTTCCAGTCACTGGAGAAGTGCTGACTTCCGGTCTGAGGCTGGCTGTAATGGGAGAATAATACTGAACCCAGGCAGGTGGGAATGATCACTAACCCACCTGCTCTCCACTGAAAGCCCCAAGGCCTCTGTGCACAATATGTTCTCTCTTGATCCTGTATGGAAAACAACCCTGACTTTGGAACCAATTCCCATTCAGCTCATATCAAGAGATGCTAGAAATGACAAGGATTAGAATACCTCAGCATTAACACTTAGCAAAGTACCATGTACACAATAGTACATATTCAAAAATATTTTTGTAGGTTACATGACAAAGTAAACAAAACACAATTTTAAATGATTTATAATGTATGGCAGCTAGATAGTATGCTCCTCAGTGTTGGCTCATTGTTCTGATTCATAACTAACATCTATATTGTACACATTCTTTCCTTTGTAGCATATATCAACTTGTGAAATAATTATTGTGAGAAGAATCAAGAATACATTTAAGTGCATAAAACATGCCATTAAGGTTATTTTAGTGTGAAGTATGAAATATCAGCCCTGCAGATGCTCCCAACGTGGCTCAGATTCTATCAGAGCCAGGAGTCCAGGTGTGGAGGCATCACCTTGTGCATTCACCAGTCACTCTGCCCACTCACACACAGGCCTCTCGGGGTTTCTGAGCAGGGCCTGTTCATGACTTGCAAAATCCATAGCTCTGGTAGTTGCTGTGATCTGATAAAACATGAAGCTTCTTGTATATCTACAATGGTGGGCAATCAACATTCTCCATTTCCAGAACTTTTTCATGTCTTCCCAAAACGAAACTTTGCCTCCATTAGACATTAGTTCACCATCCCTCCTGCTCTGGCCCCTGTCAACTACCATTCTAATGTCTCCCTCCATGAACACGAAGGGCAATATTCTTTCTTGATATGAAGGCTTTCTTTGTAACAATTCGTGGAGCTATACACTTAATGATATATCCACTTTTCCATATTTCCATTGTGCCTCAATAGAGAAGATCAAAACCACAGAGATAGCATTGGACCAGGCATCAGAAACCTGAGTTACAAGGTTCAAATTTGCAACTGAATGCATCCTTGGGAAGTTCCTTAATCTCTATTATTTTTCAAATGTTTTGATCATCTTATTTCATGCTACACATGGGAAGGGAGGGGGGAAATGGTTTAAATAGTGATGGTGAACATATCACAGGGGAACTGCAATGGAGAAGAACTGGGACTTTCCCAACAGTTACTGCACTAGAAAGGTCTTGCTAGAACACACCTCATTGAGCATCTCTAGCCACCACTGGAGGAGGTATGGGGTGAAGGGTGGGTGCTATCAAGGAAGACATGAGCTATTATGAAGGATTTAATGTTCAAAGAACCTCTCAGCCTTTCCTAGACTATCACATAGCACATGGTTCATGGTTCTTCTAATGTATATGCCATGTGCTGTTGGAGATATTTCCCTCAAACTATCTACTGCCTTGTTTAATCAAAAGGCCAATCAAAAGAAATAAATTCACCAAGGATTACCTGAGCACAATTCACTTATTCTTCTCAGCATCTAAATGAACTGTCACATCCTCATAGCTTACATAAGAGAATGATCTGGTTCATTCTGGCTCAATCTGAAAGGATTCTGTGTTTACTTCAGGGATTCTGTTGAAGACATAGTCATCATATGTTTGTGAGCTCTCCATGAGAACTCAGAGAAGGAATTTTCTACCATCTGTATATTGAGAACAGCTATAAGCTTTCAATAATTAGGGTCTCTTTTAAGTAAACTCTTTTTATGAAAGAAAGCTCAATAGACAATGAGTCATAATAACTAAATGAGATGGTTTATGAAATTTTTAGAAAACCAACTATTATCTATTTAAACAAACACAAGCTTTCTAATTCTTAGCAAATTAACCTTTAAAAAAGTATCCTCACAAAGTAATCAACTGCCTTTTTCTAGGACCATGAGATGTGGTCTACACAGTATACCTCCAAAAGTTTCCGAACTAACATTATTTTCCCATTATTAGAAAAAAGGGCTGATGAATCATGTTTTCTAATGACTTATATGAGCTATTTAGAGTAGGCAAATTCAGAAAAACAAAGTAGAATGGTGGTTGCCATGAATTGCCATGGGGAGTCCAGTTTCAGTTTGGGAGGATGAGATGGTCCATGGATGGTAGTGATGGTTGCACAACAACGTGGATGTGTTCAATGCCACAGAACCACATATTAGAAAACAGTAAATTTTATGTATATTGTACCACAATTTAGAGAAAAAGAATTAGTTACTTTCCACTAATACTTTCTATAATTCTGAATAAAGCAATGTGTTATGGAATCACATGTACAAAAAGTAATTAAAGATATAATACTACTTTTATTATTTTTAATTTGGTTACACAAATCTACTCTTAGTTACAGAGAATCTAGAATCAGTGATTAATTTTATTTACATAGCAGACTAAAAAACTGAAGAAGAAAAAATTAACAGGTCACATCTTCATAACATAATAATAGTAATTTTGCATTTTCTTCAGCCTTTGAACATACACATAAAACACAATTTTGTATCCTATTTTTTTGGCTATAGTTTGCCTATCAGTAAAATATTTAAGTATTCAAACACTTCAAAGGGTACAAAGTGTAAGCATATTCATAGATTAAAGTAAAAACAATACCAAAAGAAGAATAAATACTTAATAAATGCTAGTTAATATTACATCAGGTTTTTAATAAGAAACTATTACACCAGTCATAAGAATTTAATAGATAACATTTAGGTGAAATGTTAATACATGTTTTAGTTTTGAGATGATGGAGTTTTTTCTGTTCATTGAGACAGGGTGTCCCCAAAGGCTGGCCTTCAACTCCTTAGCTCAAGGAATTTTCCTCCCTCAACTTTCAGAGTAGTTGTAACTATAAAAGAATGCCACTACCTAGCAGAAGTATGTTTAAAAAAATACATCATTTTGTGAATACAGCTTTTTAGTGATATTTTTATCATGACTTTAAAGCCTATATGCTTTCTCTCAAAGTATTTGTAGACATTAAATAACCTTTGTGGTTTTCTGAAATAAGAGTAAGTTTTAGGGGCTGGGGTTGTAGCTCAGTGGTATGAGCGCTTGCCTCATATGCATGAGACCCTAGGTTCAATCCCTAGCACCACATAAAAATAAACAAATAAAAATAAAGGTATTGTGTCCATCTACAACTAAAAAAATGTTTTTAAAAAAAGAATAAGTTTTAATGACACTTAAAATGAAAAAATAAAAGTTGTGGAAAAATCTACTTGTCTAGAGTTGGGGTTGTGACCCAGAGGTAGAGTGCTTGCCTAGCATGTGTAAGGCACTGGGTTCAATCCTTACCACCACATAAATATAAAATAAAGATACTGTTTCCACCTATAGCTAATATATATGTGTGTGTGTGTGTGTGTGTGTGTGTATAAAATCTACTTGTCCAAGGTGGTTTTGAGCAACATGCCTCTTATTAAACATATCATCATTGGGGCTGGGGATGTGGCTCAAACGGTGGTGCGCTCGCCTGGCATGCATGCAGCCCGGGTTCGATCCTCAGCACCACATACAAACAAAGATGTTGTGTCTGCCGAAAATTTAAAAATAAATATTAAAAATTCTCTCTCTCTCTCTTTTTTTAATTTAATTTTATTTTTTTACTTTTTATTTTATTTTATTTTTTTACTGGTTCTTATTGGTTGTTCAAAACATTACAAAGCTCTTGACATATCATATTTCATACAATAGATTCAAGTTGGTTATGAACTCCCATTTTTACCCCAAATACAGATTGCAGAATCACATCGCTTACACATCTACATTTTTACATAATGCCCTATTAGTAACTGTTGTATTCTACTACCTTTCCTATCCTCTACTATCCCCCCTCCCCTCCCCTCCCATCTTCTCTCTCTACCCCATCTACTGTAATTCATTTCTCTCCTTGTTTTTTTTTTTTTCCCATTCCCCTCATAACCTCTTCTATGTAATTTTGTATAACAATGAGGGTCTCCTTCCATTTCCATGCAATTTCCCTTTTCTCTACCTTTCCCTCCCACCTCATGTCTCTGTTTAATGTTAATCTTTTCCTCCTGCTCTTCCTCCCTGCTGTTCTTAGTTGCTCTCATTATATCAAATAAGACATTTGGCATTTGTTTTTTAGGGATTGGCTAGCTTCACTTAGCATAATCTGCTCTAGTACCATCCATTTCCCTGCAAATTCCATGATTTTGTCATTTTTTAGTGCTGCGTAATACTCCATTGTGTATAAATGCCACTTTTTTTTTTTATCCATTCATCTATTGAAGGGCATCTGGGTTGGTTCCACAGTCTAGCTATTGTGAATTGCGCTGCTATGAACATCGATGTGGCAGTATCCCTGTAGTACGCTCTTTTAAGGTCTTCAGGGAATAGTCAGAGAAGGGCAATAACTGGGTCAAATGGTGTTTCCATTCCCAGCTTTCCCAGGAATCTCCATACTGCTTTCCAAATTGGCCGCACCAATTTGCAGTCCCACCAGCAATGTACAAGAGTACCCTTTTCCCCACATCCTCGCCAGCACTTGTTGTTTGACTTCATAATGGCTGCCAATCTTACTGGAGTGAGATGGT